GGAGGCTGTCTATGGCCAGAGGTTGCCGGGCCAGTTTGTGAGCTGCATGGGCCTCAGGAGAGCAGGTGCAGCCAGATGCAAAAAGGACAGGCTTGGAACAACAGCAGGGAGGCCCTGGGTCCTCTAGAGGCGAGAGGAACTCAGCTCTGGGGAGGAAGGCCGACAGTCACAGCGAACCATTGGGAGAAACTGTGAGCTTAGTGAATGGGATCTGGAAGGCAAACCTGGGCCTGGGAGGGGCGGCTACTCAGACTGGGCTGTGAGGCCTTCAGGCTGTGCCAAGTCAGCGGAGTGTCACTGGCTTGTCTTAGTGCCGCGTGTCTTCTGTGCTTCGAGTCCCTGCTCATCTGTAAATTCAGCCTGGGTGGCGTTTGAATGGGCTGTGTGTTCTGGCTGTCAGCGGGCAGGGTGGAAGTAGCGTGCCCATCAGCACATCCCAGAGAAGAGGTGAGGCAGGTAAAGCATGAGGTCCGAGGCGCAGAGTCTGAAAGAGAAGTCTGTGCTCCTTACATTGGATAGAGCAGCAGAAAACAAAGAGAACTAGCGCTGGACGGAGCGTCTGTGGAGGCGACGGGAGCCGGTGCGGGGAGAAGAGGCCCTGGGTTTGTGCAGCATGTACCCAAGAAATGCAAACGTCAGTTACAGTGACTCATTGTAAAATTGCACACTTTTAGCAGAAATGTATTTCATCTGGAAATAAGTTAATCTGAATTGTGACCTACTCTTGTGCCTCCTGACCTTGGAGGCTCAGCAGGCAGACAGATCTTTACTACCGTGTTACTGCCTGGAGGGGAGACCTTTCTTCTCTCCGGCAGTTGCTGTCATGGCTCTAGACAGTTCTTCTTCTCCTTCTTATTCCTCTAAACCTGGGGTTTATTTTTTAAATTGGCATTTGATGTCAGGCTGAGAAGCACTGATTTATAGTCCTATATTCATGAATGTGCTGATCAGGCTGGAGTAAAACTGGGCACATACAGAGAAAACTCAGTGATGGACAGGGTGCACAGCCATCAGAATCCATGTTTGGTGGTTTTTCAGGAACGGGTTGAATGCCATTTTGATTTTTAGTTTGGGCCTGTGGAGAAGGAAATGGATTTAAAGCTCTTCAAGAATTAGAATGGCCAACCTTACATTTCTTAAAATACTAGAATACTGAGAAATTCTAGTCTATCACTATGTAGCATTAAGTAAATTATTTTCCTAGGTAGAGAATTAAATACCCATGCAAAGAACAATCAGGACGAAAAAAGTTGTTTGATTTTCTTTTTTTCCCTGAAAAATGAGGACAGCTTCAAATTTTGTGTGTATGTATGTGTGGTTTCCTGTTCCCCTCCCAGGAAAAGCTACCTAGCATTGGTCAGCGCAGAGTTAGGGGAGAGAGGCACAGAGTAAAGTGTATTTCAGATTTATTGAAAGTAAAAAGAATTCAACCAGAACTTTATTTATAGACTTAAAAAAATAGTTTTGTAAATTTGGAGCTATTGTTTGGCAGGCAGCATCTAGAACTTCCGAGAATGACGTCCGCTTATATTATTGGGAAAGATGAGGAGAGGGAGGAGGTCATCCTTACACATAAATACTTTCAGGTTGAGCTGAACATGCTCCATAATTTAATGTTGCTTCTTTCGAATGACAGAAATTAGTGAAACAATGTGAGAGGAAATTAATTTTGACTGTGGTTTAGACATTATATACAATGTTATATTTCATGATTAAGTTTTTTATAAAATTAAAGCCACACACTCCTCTTTCTCCTTAGACCTGTGTGCGAGACAGAGCCATTCTTTCTATTCTAGCTGTTCGGAACATCAGCAAAGAAGTCGCTCAGAAGGCTGTTGATGAAGTTTTTGAGTCTTGTTTCAATGACCATGAACCTTTCGGAAGGATCCCACATAACAAGACGTATGCAAGACACGCTCACAGAGACTTTCAGAACCGGGATCGGTACTACGCAAACATATGACGACAACGACGTGTTGTATCACGGAGCTGCAGCGATCATGAGGAAGGTACGGCTCCCCGGTGGACAAACGTGTAAAACGTGAACGGTCAGTTGAATCCTGAGGAGACACAGAAGATGCTGACGACAGCACATGATCAGAAAAGTAACTGTGCTGAAAAATGAAACCGCCTTGAACTCCAAGGCAAAAATTGTACCTTTGTAGTTAACCATTTGGTAAATAAGGCAAATAAATTGCATTTCAGTATTTTCTACAATGTACTTGTTTTTTATTTGTGTTTTATTTTTTATTATCGTGATTTGTTTTTATTACATATGGTTCTTTTAAAGTTTGATTCTGAAACCTGTGAAGTGCACCCTCTGTACGATGTCAGGGTGACCACTGTTTACCTTACACGTAAAGACAGATGGACCGATCTCACGAGAGGGCATTTATTGAAATGTTGTGGTTGACCTGCAACATTATGTTAGTTCCTGTCATACCACATCATTTCTCCCCTCCCTCCCCCACCTCCCCTCTGGAAACCACCTATTTGTTCTCTGTATTTATGACTCTGTTTTGATGTTTGTTCATTTGGTTTTTAGATTCCACATATAAGTGAAGTCATACAGTGTTTGTCTTTCTCCGTCTGACTTATTTCTCTGAGCTGACAGTCCTACCACCAGTGCACAAGGGTTCCTTTTCTCCACATCCTTGCCAACACTAGTCATTTGTTGTTTTTTGAATGATAGCCACTCTGACAGGTGCGAGATGATGTCTCGTGGCTTTGATTTGCATTTCTGTGATGATCAGTGATGTTGAGCATTCTTCACGTGCTTGTTGTCCATTTGTATGTCTTCTTTGTGATTTGGGTTACATGCATGTATCTTGCCAAAGTGGTACAGTCAATATTTATGCATCTCAATATATATAAAACCTATCTTAAAAATAATTGAATGGTGGGTGGCGAGTGGATGGAGGTATAGATTAAACAAGATGGCAGAGTGTTGATAACTGTTAAAACGGATGGATGGATACAAGGATGTTCATTGTACTACTCTGTACTTTGTAAATGTTTGAAATTTTTCACAATCATTTTTTTTTAAACTGAGGGAAATGAGGTAAAGATTAATATGCACTGAAATCTAAATGATATAATCTTGTTTTTATGAGGACTGGTATAACCACACATTCTTTGCTAGGCAGAAAATTGAGTGCTAAACAATTAGAAAGTTATTGTTTTGTTCATATCTGCCCTTGGGAAAGAGAAGGAAGGGCAGACTGAAGAACGAAGCAGAATAATCTTGGTCTGCTGCAATCAGACCATGCTATTTCAACTATTCAACTTCCTCTTCTCAAGGGGATAGAGATATCCAGCCAAGATATTACCAAACCTAGTTATTTGTTAATTAAACTCACTTCAGAGCAATACCCTGAGTGCATAATTAATTAAATGTTAATTTATGTTGATGATAATATTGCACTTGAATTTTGAAACTTTTTCTGAATTTAAAATATTTGAGAACCAAGAGCTAAGCATTTCTGCTAATAACCTGCATTTTTTCACATTATTTTCTTCCTTCTTTCTCTTCCCAGCTGATTTTTACCTCCAACTATTCTAACGCTAGTGTTAGAGTTCCCAAGAGCAGAATTTGGTTCTACAGAAATTACCAGGGATACTATTTATTCAACAGGTACCAAGGCCAAGTTGAAAAAATTAATCATGTGACATCCTAAGTGGCAAGTGGCAGCTTCTCTGAGTACTAACTGTATTCATACGGTCTCACATCCAAGGTGGTAAAGTAAGGGGGAAAAAAAATCAAACTGGGTCAAGTAAACTCCCCTAACATAATGCTTCTTTTTCTGAAAATTAGTAAGTTACAGAGTCCCAGAGCAAAGGCCAAAGATGTACGTATGTACCTTCCAAATCTGGATCTTCAGGGTCAAAGCCAGTCATGTCTGGAGGGCCAGGCTGGCCACGGGAGTGGCCCTTATTACAGTCACGTGGCTGGACTCAGGGCTCGCTTAGGGAACCACAGGTCCCTCTCATTCTCCCAACCACTGCGTGAGGCGGAGAACCAATCTGAGGGAAAAAGTAGACTGCATTAACTCAATACGTATTTATTAAGCACATACTATCTGTCACGTACTGATGCGGTCACTAGGGATACTGAAATGACCATCAAGCACTGGAGCTTTATTGTGGCTATAATTGCACCAAAGAGGAAGAAGGGCGGGTGATTTGGGGACATGTAATTTCACACCCAACCTAGAGGAAGTGACATTTAAACTGAGGCTTGAGTATGAGGAGGAGTCAGCAAGTCAAGGGGGGTAGAGAAGGAGGCTTCCAGACAAGAGGAGACCCTTTGTGTGAAGGCCTTAGAAGGGAGCGGGGACAGTGTGGAACAATGTACCTGGTTCCCAAGGAAACTGGTACCCAATTCCCAGGGAGAGGAGGAGCTCTGTGGCTGAGTGTCAAATGAAAAAGGGAAACAGTGGGAAAGAACACAATAGTCTGTAATTGATTTGGAGAAAACTGGAGACATCTGGGAAAAATTAAGCTGAATCCCTAACTCATTTCTATACCAAAGTTAATCTCAGAGATATAAAAGATGTTAATAGAAAAAGCCATAAAAGTACCAGTGCATGGGAGAATTTTTAAAAATAATCTTAGAATGGGATAGCCTAAAGTAACATGAAAATTACAAAATCATAAAAGATGATATTGATACACCTAACAGCATTTTTAATCTTCAAAAGTTAAATAAAAGATAACTTTTCAACACTGTATCATGAAAGACGATGTTATTCATAATGAAGTGATGACTTTTTTACATCTGTATAAAAAATAAAAGAAAAATGAGCAAATAATGTGAACAGAAAATACAAATAGGTACCTTTGAAAGCCTGACTTGTGACCTTGCTCATAATACGAAGTGTGTAAACTATGACTTACTGTTTTCACCTGAGAATTTTACAGAGGTCAAAAATGTGTTATACGTCAAACTAGAGAGCTTCTGCCAGCAAAGGGAGCCATTAACAAAGTGAAAGGCAACCTAGCGAAGGGGAGAAAATATCTGAAAATCGTGCATCTGATAAGGGGTTAATATCCAAAATATACCAAGAACTCATACAACTCAACAGCAAAAAAACCTGCCAAACAACCTGATTAAAAAAGTGGGAGGAGGATCTGAAAAGACATTCTTCCAAAAAAGACATAGGGATGGCAAACAGCTACATGAAAAGGTGCTCAGCATCACTAATCACCAGGGAAATGCAAATCAAATCCACAGAGAAATTACCACCTCACACCTGTTAGAATGACTATTACAAAAAAGACAAGAAT